TGAATCTTACTGTATGGAACAGTCTTGTGAGGGATTACAACATAAAATTCGGTCATTACATCACAATTACAAAACCAGGTAACATTCTCTTACTTTGACATTTTGGGAGGGTCGTCTTTGCTTCCCTACCAAGTGTTTGATGGAAGATTAATTTGGATTTATAGGCAACTCAGATGCACCACAAACTACATCCTCCAAAATTATCTTAAAGTTGAATCAATGCTCTCTTAAGCAGTTTCAATAAAAATTGAACATTAAAACCTGAATGAAGAATTTATTGCAGGACTGTTGTAGTAGGCTGCATTCATTTTAGCCAGGTGTACCTAATAAACTGACAACTGAGGGACCAATTCACAAAAGGATTGAGCTGCTTTTTGGGCTGCTAAAAAAGTAAGTCCACTGCTTTGCCGACAGCATCATTAACAGGCGGCTCGCTCAGTGTGTGACGTGCACTTGTAGATAAAATATAGGCCTATATTAATGAAGGTTCATTAGTACGGTTTTGTATTTCTCTGTAATGTAGCACAGTGTTAACAATGTTACTGATACTATTCTTTCTCACACCTTCAACTCAAACCATTGTGTTGCCACGCCCGAAATTCAATAATTAGATTAATATCGTAAACATGCGGGCGACTAGTCGACTAATGGCCCTAAATGACGACTATTGGTCGACTAGGAACATTCTTAGTCAGGGGCAGCACTAGATTATGGCCGTGTTTGCTCTGTAATACAGCGAACACAATATCTCTTATGAACTGGAGCTTGAGACGGGGCAGCTGGCAGTAACAAGTGATGCACAATTCATGGTGCAATCAGCAGCTGCAATCCATTCTTTGTGAATTTGCTCCTGAGTGCATAACGAGTTAACTGATAAGACCTTTGGAGCAATTTGTGAGTAATTTGCCCAGCTCTGTATCTGGAGTGAAATACCTGCAGACAAACAAGCAGACCAATTTACAGAGATTAAGAGGGGAAAACATCAGGAAACTAACAAACTGGCTGGCGTTAATACTTCTTAAAGACTGGCATGCATTTGAAATCCCCCAATAAGGCCTTGCTGACAGTCTCATATTTGCAGCCTGACTCTGCCTCAGGCGAACATTCAAACTCTCACAACGCTTCAGCGCAGCAGCGGCAGCATCTGACCGAAGCAAATGGTTCTGTAATTGGCATTACAACTTGTGGAAACCAAAGAATTCGGCTGGTTCAACTCAGCAGCCTTGTGTCTTGGCTGGCGGTAAACTTTTTACCCCAGAGAGCTGCTTTTCAAAGAAACACGTCAGGCCCCGGGGCGTTCACAGCAGCACCATAATGCCTCTGCATCCAGCTGTTGTTCGTAGGATGCAAACGGTGCATTAATGTGGACGTCATGTTCAGCTGTCGGGGAGTGTTGAAAAAGCTACAGCACACAGGAGAGCAGTTGATGTTATGTGTTGTTTATAGTGCCCGAGCAGCTGGAGGGCGAGAGTCACAAATTCATACAGTGTGATGTCGTCAATTTGGCATGTGTGGTTAAATATTATCAGATTATCCCCTTTATAAAAGCAGCTTTTTAAAAATGCATGGCAAAGAATTGGATTGGATGCAGCAGATCACGCTTCAGCAAACTTCATGACTGTCTCAGCCCGTGAGTGTGCGATCATACTTTATATGAGAGCCTGCATGCACCTTTGTTAGAATGCAGAACAAAAATCCTGAACAGCTGGACTGTAAATGTGACTGAACTGAACTGAAAATTAGACAAACTAGTCTGAATAATACACGCTACAAGAATAAAGGCATACAGAACAAACTATTCATATTGTGTTATAATTTGTATATTTGGTCTCACACCTATGCAAATGGAAATAGATAACATTAATTTAGCTTGGCTTGTTGTCAGCTGGTAAATAGCTCCTAGCGGTCCAAACCTCTCTGCAGAAGGAAGCATGGTGAGGCGTTTGGGCACCGTTCACTAACAATGGCTTAACTGCAGTCTTCACTACAAAACAATAAACATGGTCCTCTCATGAGGTCTAACAGTAGCCCTGAGCTCATCTAGACATGTAACTCTCTCTCTCTTAAAGAATTCCAACTAATATTGCTGCAACGTCCCCTTAAACTTACACTTGTGCTGCCTCAAAATTTTGGCTCTTGAAAAGCTCTTCCTTTTTTGGCTAACACAAAAAACTATATCTTTTCTACATCTGGCAAATTATCAACAACAACACAAGAAAAAGACACAAAACAAAACAAATTGGAACCAGAGATGAATTCTCTTGTCCTCATGATAATTCCCTTTGCGTGTTCGTGTCTGTCACATTTCAACTGTGCACCTTGTCTCTCGCACCTCGGTCAGACAGGTGACTGACGGGGAAGTGATTACATGGGACACAGTCATGCTCCCACACACAGCACACAAGCCACCAAACGGTATCTAGTTCCTGTGAGAGTAACGTTCCTCTATCTGTGTTATTATCAAAACAAGCCTCTCAGTCCTCCCCGCACTGTCGCCTCCGGCACCTGAGAGGCATTCAGTCACCAGCGTCAAATCATCACCTGCAGAGAAGTGCAACTGTACCCTTGTGATGGTCAGGTTCATCCACAGCTATGCGGTGAAGCTACGCCGCCAAAATACCTGTCATTTTCCACACGTGTAATACATCCCTTGTTTGTTATTTTGCAAGAGATTCTTAGGATGTATGGCATAGTCTCAAGCAGTAGTCATATGCAAACTATCCGCCTGAAAAGCTTCTATACTGCATGGTTTTTCACAGAGGCCAGAGTTTTTCTATAAACGCAGCTGCAGTTACGAGTTTCTTCCCCAAAAGCAGCGAGGAGGTCTGAAAGGTGATTCATGATTTCCAGATGACAAACCATATATCCAACTGACCATACAACTGCCTCCTTTTACTGTACAGACTTCCACATGGGAGGCACATGGTGTCAACATGCACAGCTGCGTGTTGACATGACATCCCCATACGTCCTGACAGGAAGCCGTGTGCAGCAAGACAAAATGGCTGCCAGAAAACAACACACTACACTGAGTCATATTTAGGTTGATGAGAACATGTCGCCCTTGAACAGACCTTCCCAAAACATGAAATTCCAAATGAAATTCCATAATCCATAATCCATTATTGATAATAATCCTGGGCGGATTAGCCGACATTCCATTAGGTTTTTTATTCCGTCAATGCAGAGAACGGACGCCCAGTTTCTGGGTCAAATATCATATATAGGAGTCATATGTGGTAAAGCCGAGGCTAAATATAGGTTCCCCCGCACGTCGAGGTATTCCAGTTTCAGAAAGACATTTCTATAATCCATTTCATGCCTCGTCTCATGAGCTGACATTCCAACACCGGAGAAATAACCTGCTGAGTTCTCATCAGATTTCATCAGGCTTTTGTCACTTCCTCTCCACATTTGGGACGTCTAATTCACAACATATGAATCACATTCAGCTCGGCTTCAGCTTGCTGCTTTATCAGTACGAATATTTTCACTAAACTAAACATAGTGAGTTGTTAAAAACACAGGATAATTATGGAGTACTTTAGGCCTAAGTTGGCTACAGTGCTAAAAGTCTTGATCTCAGCACCATATATTTCTTGATCTTTACATGAGCCTTCATGGTCTGTGTTCTTGTCTTGCTAAAAAACACATATACTCCCTTACAGGTCTACACTTTATAAACCTTAAAACAACTGTCTGAACAATCAAGCTTCAACGCAGACTCTGTTGGAAGAACACTTTCTTAGTTGCCCAACAGTCATCCAATACTGAACTGTGGTTACCTTTTAGCCCAGTTTCCACCAAGCAATACGTTACAGTCCAGTTCGGTACGCTATATTTCCATTTCCACTGTGAAAAGTTGTGGATGGTACCAGCAGAACCGTTCCGTACAGTCCCAATTTTTGGTCCCCCCTCTGTTGGGGTACCTAGCACACAGATCTGGTACTAAAAGGTGGAGCTGTGAACACTGCAGTCTGTTGATTGGTCAATAGCAGTTGGTCACTCTGCTCAGGGCAGAGTTGTGGCTGGTTTTGAGGCTCATGTAACCACTGTTCATACTGTGGAGAGTTTTATTAGTAAACTGTAACTATAAAATGAAAGGATGTTTTGCTGCCTCTTGCAGCAGCTGGAGTCTGAGAAAAAAATAACTTAATTTACTGGGCCGACTGCCAGCGACTTTAAGGTGGAACGTCAACTTGTAGTGTTTCTCAACGCATGAGTTGACAACACGAATCCATCAACACACCTTAAATTTCAATGTTACAGCTTTGACCATCACTTTAGTTTTTATATGGCATACAATTTTAGTGCCCCAACAGAGGGGGGACCAAAAATGGGGACAGTACGGAACGGAGCCATTGGTACCGTCCACAACTTTTGACAGTGGAAACAGAAAAAAAGTGTACCGAACTGAACTGAACCATATCATACTGCTCAGTGGAAACGGGGCTTAAATGTCCAGGAAACTTTCAGTGAAAACATGGCTTAAATCAGGGCCATACCAGTTCTCTCTGCACATTTCTATTTGCCTTTTTGGGGGGCAGGAATTACAGACCAGGAACTACACGTAGACATGAGCTCCTCTCAGCTGAGGTTTCTCAATTCATTAAAACATTTGTGGGTTTCTAAGAAAGTTCCTGCAGTGGAAAAAGGCTATTAGACTCAGCTGAGGTGGTCCCACAGTCATACCAGACAGTCAGGTGGAATGAACTCAAAGCACAAATACATACAACAGCATCATCAAATATCATTTCTATCATAAGTGTCTATCTGTATGGATTTCTGAGTCATCACTTAAGGCATCTAAACGTTGAAAGGCAAAGCCAAAACCCACCACCACAAAAATCAAATCCTCTACTCCTCCGTCAGAACCAAATCTCATGAACATCTATTGTTAAGATTTTGAGTCACCTCACTGACAAACCGACAGACCCGCACAAGCATATACTCTGTAACATTTGTTCAACGCTGCAGGTGTTTTCATGTGAGTTCCTTACTTCCAACACTGGCCCCGCTCCCAGGATGATCTGCTCCACCCCGCTGGCGAATCCCTTCTGGCTGAGCGCAGTCAGGTGATGAATGAGGAAGTTGGTGCTCTGAGTCTTCCCAGACCCGCTCTCCCCAGATATCACTATGCACTGGTTCTTCCGTCGCTGCAGCATGGCATGATACGCCACATCCGCCACAGCATAAATATGGGGCTCCAGCTTCCCCAGCGTGTGGTTGTCGTACAATTTGACATATTTGGGATTGTAGATTGGCAGGAACTGAAAGGGGTTAACAACAATAAGAATACTCCCAATGTAAGTGTAGATCTTCTCCTGGCGGAAACGTGCACGCAGGCTTTCCAAAATGGTGCGTTCTGCTAGCTCCGGGAGAGCGCAGAGGTCGGACGGAGGGTCGCTCCCTGCAGGCTGGGGGAGGAAACCCCGCTCCACCATGCGGCGACGCTCCTCAGTCACCCGCAGCCACATCTGCAGGCTGCCGCCATAATGAATAGATCCATCCAGGTTCTTCTCCCGCAGGAGGAAGCGGTAGTCATCGCCACTGCCCAGGCCGCTGCGGTTCTCCAAGGCGCTCCGTGGCCACAACATCATCCGCTGAACAGGGCAGTCGCCAGGGTTCAGGATCCATTCCTCCCCGCCAAACTCCTTCACCTCGGCCAACACGTAGCACTTGGTACGATCCAGACGCAACAGCTCAATGAGGCACTCGATGGCTTCAGCAGCTGTGGTGTTCTTGCGGGCGCTGACAGGGCAGTAGATGGTCCCCTCAGCCAAGGCGCCTGGGTAGACGCGCAAGGAGAACTCCTGGTCCTCCAGGCGCCGCCGCATGCTGCCACTAGCGGTGGCCATGTTGGCGCTGCTGGCGTAGCTGCAGCCGCCATCTTGTAAGCTCATGGTGGCGCAGCAGGTCCCATCAGCACACCGCTCTCTGGGCCCGGAGGACTAACTCAGGACATCCCAACTGGAGGAGGACAGAGACAAAGAGAGAAGAGATGGAAGAGGTTAAACATGGCGGCAAAACAACACGACAACAAGAGTTCAAAGGAGGAATTAGTGGTTACTTCATGTCCTCAGGCCTTTTCAGTACATTGAGTCACAACGGGGTCAGTAGAGTCATGGCGATTTCATCTGTCCCATGACAGAGTGGGTCGACTCAATAGGCTTTCTGTTTTGGGTTGTAAAGGGAACGACTATCACAGACGCCACAAAAGAAGGAGCATGAGACCGAGTCAAAGAGAGACACAAGAACTGATAGCTATTCAAAACAATGAGGAACAGTAGCTGCTTCATGAATTTAAAGGCTACTGGCCAGCTTATCTGTGTGTGTGTGTGTGTGTGTGTGTGTGTGTACTCATGTGATAATCCAAGGGCTCTAGCCGTGTGCCAAGATTAACAGCTGCCACCTTCCACACAAAAGTGGCTGTAATCAGAGCACAATGGTTTAATTCACCACTTCCCTGTTGATAGTGAACACTGCACTCCATTCTCTCTCTCTCGCTCTCTCTCTCTCACACACACACACACACACACACACACACACACAGTCCACTTTCACACACCACAAAGCTTCAAATGTGACGTTGGGAAAAAAAAGAAAAACTGTAAATGACTGTTAAATTTGCTGAAGATTATGGGACAGAGATCAAACTACTATGATAACTATACTCATATATATAGAAATGTTTCTAAGAAACTGTGCTTAAATTTGTTAAACTAATGCTAAAAATGTATTTATCTAGCTGAACTGTATGAGAACTAAGAAGTAAGTCATTTTCAGTTGCTTTTACTTTGAACGACAAAATTAAAATACTGCTAAACCAGACCGAAATTCAACACAAGGAACTATTTTACAAGCTTATCGTTCAGATGAACCAGTAATTTTAACATCGTCTTAGGGCTGCTGTGCAGTGTTAATTTTGTTGATGTCACTTTTTATATCTTTTTCAGTGAAAATAAAATATCCCAATCGCCATCACTGTCAAAGTCATCACAGTACGACTTTTTGTCATATTGGGCAGCCCTTACTTTCAATATTAAATTAGATGAATTCATTTCAGTGTGTGTATCAGAACTCTCTGGGCACATTTTAACAATACCTTGGCAAAACTGACAACCGTGATATTGTTGGTCACAATAACTGTGAGTTGACTTTTTATAATACTGTCAGTCAGATCTGGAAAACGAGGCTCCTTCTACTCTACTGTATCATTACTAAATGCAGAGAGTGCATCAGTGTGACAGTTTGGTTTTATTGCCGAACTCCAGTCTCTGTGGAGATACAAAATACCAATACCACACGATGAATATGGATCAGTTTAGTACCCCAAAATGTAGAAACAAGAACTCAATTTTAAATGTAGGCCAAAACCAAGACCACCACTGTGAAAACTTTACTGATCCCTGCTCTTCATCACCTCATCCTATTTTCTTTTTTCCTCGCTTCGTCTCTCTCATGCTGTTTTCACTTCTTCCTCTCTGACTACGTTCTGGATATTCCCTATCAGTGCAAACAAATACATGCTTTACATTTCTACACTTCCTTCCTTCCCTTCTCTCCTTCGACTCTCAGTTCAAGGTCTGTCTGCACAGAACAACAATGCAAAGGCAGGACAATGCATTAAACACGAAACAACAAACTAATTCACGCAATGTTCGAGTGAACTGAGGTTAATGTTTTGATGAAAACATGTACCAGTACTCCTTTAGGCTCTTTACACTGAATCCAGTTCTCGCTTTAAGTCATCTCTCTCCTTTGTTGCCGGACGACTTTAAATTTTCCTCACTGGCTCTCTCAGCTAAGTGCAAAGGCCAGACAGATACATAAAGAGAAAGAAAGCAGAGGATGAGCCAGCCAGTCGTCCTCTGAGCGCCCCAGACAGACCCTCCTCTCCCTCCTGCCGTCTGGAGTGATCCTGACCACCTACAGTAGTCTGCAGCAGCCCCGCCACCACCAGACAGAGACGGAGAGAGAGAGAGAGGAAATAACCAGCTGGGCGTCTGTAAGAAACAAAGAGGTGAACTGCGAGGGATGAAAGACGGAGCGGAGGCAGAGACGACTGAGCTAAAATACAGAGATGAGAGAGTGTACACAAGATTCAAAACAACATCCCCCAAGATTGATGCAGTCACGCGTTGAGACGCTAACGAGCTGTTCAAACGGGTAACAGGTCGGAGATCCAAGGCTATTATGCAGAAATGTAAATACAGACAGTATTCATGGTCCGTTTGTGCCGTCTGGTGGGTTCCTTTTGAGTATCTGTGGTGCTTGTACAAAGAAAACGATTGAACAAATGAACACTGAAGCAAAGCTAGGTGGGCAAATCTGTGTCTCTTCCCAGACTGCAGATCAAAATGTGGTGACACTGGATTGATTTCTTAACAAAAAACAAACTTAAGTTGACAATTCACACTACGTCTGAACAAAGCCGGCTATATCTGAAAATTAAAATGCATCCACGCTTTTTGTTGAGATCTCTGCCTACAGTAAAACATCCACACGTCTAGAAGATTTCAGTTGGCAAATAACCAATTGTGCATCACAGCCAACATGTAGTAAAAGGTGGGACAGACAGACAGGTTACCTTGCCACAATAACCCACAGGGCTCTTAGCACAGGCCGAATAGACACCATGTGGTAGGGCGGCACAGTTGCCAAGAAAATAATATACGAAAATAAGATTCAAAACATGAACTTTTTTAAAACTATGTGCGCCCTTGTCTTGTGGTGTGCTGCCCACCCATGGGACTGCAGATCCACTGAGTGACAGCACAAGACTTTAAGCCAGAGATGGTTCAGAACGTCTTTGTTTGACCTATCAGATTAGCAGCAGCATCCAAGGGGTTCAAAGATTGGCATGTGTAGGATGGGTGTGCTGCACAGGCATTAACAGGAGTCCGACAGTGGAGCAAATCCAACACATTCTCACTCTGACCTCATCACATATCGACATTTTGTCATGGACTTTACACGTAGACAAATGGCGTGCAAGGTACCCTGGGTGCGTTGGTTGTTGACGATCTGGGACACCCTGTCAAGTTCTGCCTGTTACATGTGTTGTCTGTTTTCAAAATACACTTCCCAGGAAATGTACAATTTGCATACAGTCTCTTTTAAAATAAACCCACTACGTTTTTTTTCCTTCAACAGCACACAAACATGGTTGGGTTTAGAGACAAAATAGAACAAGGTTTGGCTTTACAATCTTGCGGGAAGCAAATGCCGGCCTCCCTGGTAAAAGTCGGTTGTTGGACCACCCCTCCAACTCGTCTTACACGGACTTCCGCCGCCTTAACTTCCATATCATGCCGACGTGAAAGGACAGCTTTTTGCGGCAGTGTCTGACACTGGAAGTCACTGACCAAGCATTGGATTTCGACTTCAAGACTGGGTTGACAAAACAGGTTTTAGTAGTTCCAAGTGATAGCTGAAAACATCAGATTCTCATATATGATAAAGAAGTCCGATCCGCGTGGTGCATCGGAGAGAAAGCAGAATAAGAAAGACGATGGAAAAAAAGCAAAATACTGAGGTATGCGACACAACAGTTTGTATGATATCCTACAAAACAGTGCCCCATGAATGACGTTAAATACTTAATGAAACATTATGAACTTAATGTGAAGTTATGGAGGTTAGGTTTGGGCAAGTTAAGTTAGTGTGGTTAGGTTTAGGAAAAGAAACATGGTGACAACATACCTAAAATGACTCAAAGTTCACGCATAGTTCTGGATCATTCCACTACGCCAACTTCAAAACATTACATTACATGGGAACAGAGCATGTGAGCGGAAGGATTTTGTGTTGAGCGAGGAGCAGCTATTTTTTTTTTAAAAGGTGGAGCGGAGCCTTATCTCTCGCTCCAATTTTGCTCCGGTCACTCATGCCCCACCCAGAATGCATCTTTGCACCTGCGCACACCCACACTATTTTCTTTCAAAACTATGGAGTTTACTGTGTACTTCAGAAAAGAAACTGAGAAGAGAAGCAGTGGTACCTTGGAGAACGGTCCCTAACTGCGGGGAGAGGCGAGAGGGTTTCCCTGGAGGTCGGTCGCTTAACCCGGTCCGTCTCCTCTACACTTTGACTTATTTCCACCCTGCCGACAGCAGTACCATGTAGAACAGTCCCTAACTGCGGGGAGAGGGCTTCCCTGGAGAATCTACCAAGCTCATGTTTTATTTGTGAACAGAAGATTACAGGTTAGGGTAGTACAACGCAGTTTTTTTGAGTGGAGTGGTAAGCGAGTGGAGCGGGATAAAATTTATGATGGAGTGGAGCGGAGCGAAGAATGCGCAGAACCAAGCGGAGCGGACGAGCGGCGCAAAGTGACAGGTCTGTGAGCGAAGAGCAGAAATTTTCACCCGCTCCGCTCACATGCTCTGCGTGGGATATGTACGAACTTTGGTGCATTACTTTTTATAGGAAAACGTACAAACAGTGCATGAGAGGAGCCTGAGGTATGTGTAAGGACGGTATTATTACTATCAAAGGTAACTAGCTATTTCAGCTAGCAGTGAAAAAACACACTAGAATGGGGAGATGCTTGGTGAGAACTCACAGTCCACCATCCAAAGAAAGGCTGCTTTCACAATGAGAATAGCTGACAGATACTGTAGCGTGGGAAAGAGTGTACAGTTTGTGAGAGTGTGTGGTTACCAACTGTTGTCTTCCCTATATTTCATCACACTGGACCAGAAATAACTGAAGAACAATAAACTGTGTATTATAAATATTTAAACAGAACTCTGAAACTGAACTGAGCAGAACTGAAAACTGAGCTTGGATTGCAAAACTAATGCAGACCTACTTTGAATTTTGTAATTAAATGTTATGTTTACTATGTTAAATCTTACAATTATGGAAAAAAAGAGAATTCCACCATGACACAATATGGATAAATGCATTTTTTGCCTCTTTCCAATCACAGAGCAGTATATATCGTTGAACAACCAATGTCAGAA